TTAAGTCGTCAAATTGCTAATTTCTACTTAACTTAGGTGAATTTTTTTTTTTTTTTTAGTGAATGACCCGTTTGAAGTAATTGGAAAGGATGAAGAACAAATTGGCTATTGGATGCAATATTGAAGATCAAATTCAACACTATGAAAATTGAAGAGGATGTTGATTGCACAATTGAGGAACTCAAGGACTACATTGCATTAATTTAAAAGTTCGATCACTTAGAGAAAATAAGTTATTAATTGGACCTCAATTTGGAATTAAATAAATTGGGCCTTTGGAGAAAAATAGGGCTGCCGGCTAGAATGTGTGTGTGTATATATATATATATATATATATATATGCAAGAAAAAAGAGGGAACCGGGGAGAAGACAAAAAAAGGGGCTGCTGTTGGAGAAATTAAGAAGAAATTGCAGCTGCCATTATAGATTCGACACGCCAACTAGGGAGAAAATTGGAGTGGAAGACGTCGGCTACGGTTGGAGTGTAAAAGGCAACTGCTTGGGAAATTGTTGAGGGATTCACACATATAATTGGGCAGCTTGAGTGGAAAAGAAAGTGGAGAAATTGAAAAGGAATTGCGGCTGCCTATTATTTATTGGAGAAGATAGAAAAAAAAAAAATTTAGAGTTGCTGGAATCGAATGGATATACACATTGGGTGGCTTAATTAGTTAATCTAGATAAAAAGTTGGTGATTGCATGGGTGAAATTACACACGACAAAAGGCACCGAAATTGGGACAAAATAAATACACGCTCGGCCTTTATAATTTAATCACTTCCCGTCGATTTTTGGTGATTTCCTTCCAACTTTTTTTTTCTAAAGTTCAACAGTATGCTAGGCTAATTTTTCTCATGTATTGGATCGATGACGAAATTATTTAATTCTTAGTTTTAATTCGAGACCTATGTTTTTATATTAATTATTGCATTGTCATTCCTTTAATATGCATAATTAGATTGTTTTAATGTTTGTGCACCATTAAGACAATAAGTTGCTTATTCGTAGTGTTGGAAAACTCATGCTAGGTATAACACTATTATTGGGACATACGAGCAATAAATATTAGGAATAATATTTGTGGCGTGTGCGATCTTATGTGATAATCCTAAATGTCAATGTATGTTTGTCATATTAATTCAAACTAGGAATAGGTTCGTCTCATGGTAACCATAGATTTATTATATCTTGGGAAAAAATAATAAAGAATAGTAGAATTATCGATCGTCACAATTGCATGAATTGAGATAATTATCACTAGTTGAGAATTAGAACTAAGAATTGATCAGTGGCGTTGAAAATCCAATACGTTCACACATTTGAATTTTTAAACCAATTTTAATTATTTTCACAAGTTTTAGTTATAAAAATTATTTAGCTATTCCTTCGATCGTCTTTTAGTTACAAACACGAATTTAAATATATCAAATATATTAAAATTGATCCTTATTCCTTATGAGACGATAACTCTCTCATCACGATTATTACTTGTACAACGAACTCGTACGCTTGCGTGATTTTGTCGAACACAATTCTTGATTTATACTGTTTTAAATTAAGTAAAGCAAAGATTTTCAAGCTTGAGGAAAAACGAAGTGGGTCTTCGGATAAGCATTAACTTACCTATTTCAGTGAAAATCGGTACATTTCTTCCGAGATTTCAGTTAAGAAAGCTAGGATGCCTGACCAAAGTGTCTGCCCCAACCATAACCAAGTGACAACAAGCTAGAGTTAACCCTCTTCTGTTAGCTGAAGCATAGCTCAAGAAAATGCAAGAAAAATAAGATATGAGTTTTCTATAATGGGTTTCTTCGATTGTGTGAGTATATGTCAAAACCCTTTGGTGAATAGTCATGTTTCCGCTCCTCATCCAATGCACCTCTTGGTCGTCTTCGTCATCTTCAGTGAGATCATTGCCAGTGGGACGAGAATCGCCGACTTCATTATTTCTCTATAGATAGATAAAGTAAAGATTTGAAGAAAGAAAAATGCTCCAGGTACAAAAGGCTTTTGACGAAAAGGAGTAAATTTAACCGATGTTCATTGGACTTTAAATTTGGTTACTACTTGCTCACTCATCTTTTCATATAGTTACTCATCTATCACTCGTCTCTTAAAATAATTGGGTGACTTTTGAGGCAACTTTTCGACAACTTTCGACCACTAAGAATGTCGAATTTTGATATCGTCGAAAAGTTAACGATGTCCTCTTCAATTACCAACCAAAATCTCCCTATAACTTCAAGGGATTCGATAGAAAAATTGCCTTAAAAGTCGTCTAAAAAATCTAAAAATCTATCCAAATTTTTAGATTTTTTGGGCGACTTTTAAGGAAATCACCCAAAATTTCCCCATAACTCCAAAGGATTTGGTCGGAATAAATCCACAAACTCAGCATCTCAAACTTTGTTAAGATTTTTGCCTTTTCGAGATGCTAACTTGTGGGTTTATTTCGATCGAATCCTTTGGAGCTATGGAGAAATTTTAGGCGATAATTGAAGAGAACGTTGTGGACTTTCCAACGGTATCAAAATTCAAAAGTTTTAATGGTTGGAAGTTGCCAAAAAATTGCCTTAAAAGTCGCCCAAAAATTCTGAAAATCTTTTTTAGAATTTTTGGGCGACTTTTTAGAACAATTTTCCGATCGAATACCTTGGAGTTATAGGGAGATTTTGGGTGGTAATTGAAGAGGATATCATGGCTTTCCAACGGTATCAAAGTTTGACATTCTTGGTGGTCGAAAATTGTCGAAAAGTTATCGCAAAAGTCGCTCAATTATTTGAAAAGACGAGTGACGAATGAGTAACTATATGAAAAGATAAGTAAGTATTCAGTAACCCGTGAAAGATAAGTGAGCAAGTAGTAACCAAGTTTAAAGTTCAGTGAGCATTGGTTAAATTTACTTGACAGAAAAGCTACAGAATTTTGAATTATGTGACGCGACAGCGAAAAATGCTTATTAAAAAAAATAAAAAATTAGCAGCCTGTTTGGGAGTGATTTTTTCCCCCAAAAAATTAATTTTTTTTACTGTTATTTCATTATTCCAACCGTCATATTTGACTTCTTCTCGTACAGGTGGACCTCACTTTTCTCTTAACGGTCTAAAAATCAATTCTCAAAATCACTCCCAAACAAGAAGGGAAACGGGGGAAATCGGGAAGACACATTCATTTCCCCCCAAAATAGAACCCAGCCACCGCCCGCCACCTGACCAAGATTCATCGGCGCATTGCACCATCTCCGGCTAAGAAGTTACGGTACAAGCGCTTGTTTGGAGCGATTCATACCCATTTCAATTTTCCTACTTGTACCACCCAATGAAAAAATGGAATCAAATGCCATGAGCACAACAAATGAAGATTATACCTTAACGCATTCGCCTTGCTTGTCATTTCCAACCACCGCGAAACCACAATGACATTCTTCCTCTCGTCAAGTCGGCGCGAAGTCACCACTGAAGATTTGTCAATATCTTTTGACCACTATAGACCTAAAGTAAGTATTTTGTGCATTGATGGCTTCTTATATTTTCCAGAATTGCGTTTGGTCTTCAATTTTTGATGCGGTTGTTTATTTAGTGCATTGATTGCTTTTTATATTTTCCAGAATTGGAACTAGTCTTCAGTTTTTGTTGGGGTTGTTTATGGTTTCCGTATAGCCTGTAGAACCACCCAGCCATCTAGTGTTTTCTTTTATGATTACAGTTTTGTGTTAGCCCTGTTGATTGGATGTAGAAGAGACAGTAAAGGAAAAGGTTGTAATTAAGTGGAAAAATTTACAGTGAGAATTCACAAAAACAAAGTTAGACGATGTCTTATTTCTCATTTATGCAAAGAAAACTTCATCCTAAATATTTCATAATTTTTTGGAAGGAGAGGAAATTATGGAAGATGGGAATCATAAACAATATTTGGTGAGGCTTTCTTAATGAAGTGGTGAAAGCCGTTAAGTAATTTTAATATTATTACATAAGAAACTCAAACAAAAGGCCCATCTTGATATAACACACTGTTTCACCTGAATGTTAGGAGGAAAGTCACTCTCATAAACTTATTTGCTCCATTATTTACTCTAGCTTGGAGGCTCAACTAATTATTCTTCATCTCTTCGTTCTTCCCTATGTATAGATTCTTCATATTATGTGCAAGACAAGCAAATAATAGAGTAAGATCAACTAGGTGATCCTATTTAATAATATTTTTAGTGGTGAAAATGAACTCTTATCAACATTCATTTAACCATGCTTGCAGTCCAAATTAGAGGAAATTAAGTATTTTTAGTTGATGGAGTGAACTAGAATTTTAGGTTGATGGAATGCACAAGAAGATTAAATGCAAGAACAACATTTTACAACAGCTTCTTGTTTTACCCAGAAAGTAGCATAGCTATGGAAGGTCCATTTCTTTTTTTTATGGTAGGCAGTTGGGCTACAGTTCGAAGAAAAGGAAGCTTGCCACTGATTGCTATTTTATCAAGAAGTCAGGCTATAAGTAATTTTCATGTGCAAGTTTTCAATTCTCAGTTAGTTTAATTTTCCGTTGTTGTTAAGTATTGGACATGTGTAAGTTGGAAAAGATGTAATTTAACTTATATACTTAAGGGCTTGTTTGGGAGTTGTGTTGAATTCTCAGTTAGAAAAATCCAACAACTTTTGTTTCCGGATTTCATTTTCCTTTGTTGTTAAGTAGTTTGTAATTTTTTGTTTAGATATATGAGGCTATTGCGGCCACTGTTTGCAATATGCCTATTGGAGTTCTTGAAAATCACTGCTTTCTGAATGAAATATGTAAAGCACAGTAGTCGGGAACTCCATTTTCCCAAAATAACGTGATTCAACACCAGAGAATTTCTGTGCTACAATATGTTATTCATCTTTGCATAGTCATAAATAAAGCAATTGAATACAGTACAAGAGCTAGTTGCTTAATAAACATAAGGGCTTTATGCTAGGATTTAAATGTGAAACAAATGTGACCAAAGATTACTTCTACCAGTGAATGGATCACAAGTTCATTTTTGTCTCAGAAACCACATTGAAATGCAGATTAGACATACATAAAACCAATATATAGTTATACAAATTGAAATTCACATTATACCAGTGCTTCAACCGAAGACATGACTCAAATCACCCCCTCAATCTAATCTCTTTCCTTTTCCGTCACAGTTGGCAATTCCTTTTCCCTTGCTAAAAATCATGTGTAATGATATGTCAACGCCTCGTTACTTGCTAATTCAAGCTAGCCCATCAAAGAGTCTTGGCAATTCTTCATATTCCTTGTCGAGTGCCTGATTGTCCAAAATTTCTTCCTCTCATTCTTGCCGATTACTGCAAATGAAACAAACTCGTCAAAAAGATGGACTCGAAGATGTAGTTAAATGATTGATTATACATACATAAACAATGCATATATTAATTTACTAGCTTACTGTGCATGCAAGAGTAACTATTCTACTAAATCCTTTTCCAGCATTCTGTTAATTCATTACAATAGCTATTGGGAGATCTGAGAAACTAGATCATTTGCAACCACAAAAAGGCCGTGCTAACTTTGGTCTACCCCTCCTTTTAACATGTTAAGCTGAAATGGCTTCAATCTTCTAAACAATAGCCTTGTCAAAACCATGTTTGAATTTTGATTTTCCCATTATACAACCTTGTATTCAATCTTAACAACCGATGCAGGAAATTCCATCTTGATTTTCCCATTATTCAATCTCAGCGTAGAAACTTATGCAAAGTATCGTGAACGACAAAGCTAAAATGTACATCCATCTTGATAAAACAACAAGAATTCTCATAATAAATGTAACTTACATAGACAAAGATAAATCAACATCCAAAATCCTAACTTGTATAGTGGGAAAACTTTCAAAATTCAAACATGGTAGTTATAAAAAACATTTTATCCAATCTCAAAATCCATGTCAAAAAACAATTTAACAAATTCTTACATTATCGCTAGGTGATGGAGGTATGGCTAAGGGGAGTGGGGCACCGGGGAAGAAGGAGAATGCGGCGCCAGGCGATGAGGTGAGTGCGGCTGTGATTCTGCTTGGGGTAGGAGCTTAGGGCAAACTGACATCAAATCGTGGCTGCCAATGGTGTAAATGTGAAGGATGCGATGTACGCTCTTCGTCGACGTCGGCTGGCGGTGACGGTAAGTGTGGCGGCCGACTTGGCTTTGGGAGAAATTGCGTCTGTACCAATGTCAATTTGGGATAAATGGGTAAACTATTTTGGGTTTCCCGGGGGTGGGTTGCCCGTTTGTTTTTTATCCAATTTCCTTTTAATTTTATTGTAATTTTAATGCCAAGTCAGCCATTTTAAATTCCTGTATGTTTTCTGTCAAATGCTTCTGGACCTATAGCGAAATCGTTGAAGAAATGGCAAAGAAGATATACGAAGGAAATATTTTGAGGTGAATAGTACGAAACCTGAAAACTAGTTTAGGACCGTGCGTCAAAACGACAATGACATAAATGAATAGTGAACCTAGAGTGCCTCTTTTATTTTAAGACTAGCCTTTGCTCGTGCAATGCACGCGTTACGTTATTTTAAAGGCAACGTAAGCATGTTAATTGTTAAAGATTAATGAAAGATATGTGTACTGATTGGATAAAGGCTAATGGGTAAATGTACATGTTAGGGTGTTGTATTTTAGACAATAGAAGAAAACGAGTATACAACATCAAAATGTAATGAATTATGCTGAGTTTGTAAGAGGTCAGATCTCTGATCTGTGGAGATATTTGTCTACATTCTTCCAATTGTTTTGCCCTCTATAAAGCGATATCATACTATTTCTTATGAAATGGAGTAACATGGTTCCCAGGAATCCAAGTTGTAGAACTATGCTTGCATCTTCCAAGTGGCATGGCAGGAGGAGATCATTTTTGGCCATGCAATTGAAAATTGTAGGAACCTCAAATACGTAAGAGATTATGAAACAAAATGGGATTCACAAATACAAGAATCCTACTTCATGCTGTCCTTAATAAAACAATTAATTGTATTAGCATAATTATAGTAGAATCAACTTTAAAAGAAAATTAAAGAAAACATTTGTAATGGAACTTCGAACATAATAAGACAATATCATTACCTCATGTCCATCATAATTTCACTGATTTGATTATCTTCAGCAGCATTTTTCTGAAGCATTTCCTATGAACCGGATAAGCAGTCACATGAATCTGCCTCGAACTAAAAACTGAGCGACATATGATGTCTAGTATTGGCATCTTCATAGCTTCGCACTCATTCACATACTTGTACATTTGGAAAATAATAAAATATGAAATTCAAATCAAAACAATAATAATATTAGCATTTTTAAAATATCTTCAAAATGTTTTGAGCAAAAATAACACACAAGCAGTCAACTGTAGTAATAATATAGACTTCTTTAGCCGAACAAAGCATATTAAATTGAACTTCATCAAGACTGAATCCATAATCTTCACTTATAACATTCATAAATCATGATGAGTTGCTAGTAAAAGAAAGTAACATTAGCAACTTAAATTATAGGAGCTCATCTAACCACTTCACCAATAAGAATTGCAAGATCCTCTAAATTTGTTCTCCTGCTATCCCCAAATCTAGGAGGTTTGATAGTACAATCCTACAATGCCCCATGCAATAGAACTTGAACCCTAAGATAAACATGACATGTGGTATTGGCACTTGGTAGTAGCACATCCAATAGAAATCAAAAAGTTCTATTGTATCTTCCTGTACAAAGATAAAACTGCACTATATGAAATTATAAATGACTCATAAATTACCTGAAGTTGAGCTTTAGTTAAAAATGCAAGTCTTATTTCTTTTACTTAAAATAAATCAGACTAGTGGATTGCACTCTTTCTCTGGTGCTCTTTTTCAAATGCTGTAGCAAGTTGATTGATCTCCTCTTCTAGTGATAAGAATCATAAGTCTTTGATAACACAACAATGGCTTTATATTTATCCTTCTGCAAGAATTATTTTCGAATAAATAAGAAGGCAGATCAAATATCTGATGACATGTTTCAGAAAACAATTATTCAAGGCCAGCAAATTGCTTTTGCACCTTCAGGTAAAGCCAACAAGGAGATTCGAGCAAACATACCATAGAGAAAAACTAAAAAATGACTGGCACTGCAGATACTCTAAGCATCCGTTGCCATGTCTCAAGAATCTGCTAATCCATTTAAATAACAAAAAATCACAAACAGAATAAGAGATGCATATAACGTATTTCTGCCTCCCCAAATTGATGCAAAATAGGATATAGAAACAAATCATTTACCAACTAAAACTAATTCACCAATTACCCTCTAATTGTTTATTTATCTTTTTGCAATAAAATATTCCTAAACAAAGAACTAAAATTGTTTCCCACCAAAGCAAAATACGAAGTTCCAAATAAACACGTACCTTCACATTCGAAGAAAAAATTGTTACAATTTTCTCGTAGCCAGCTTTCTTGAGATGGAAATTCATCCATTTAAGCAAGACGTTCTCTGGAGCTAGTCCCATAAGCTCTTCAATATCAAGAAATAATACAATCACTTCACTGAGTTGTACCAATTGGGCTGAATTCGAACTTGCACCTCTGGTAAGGATAAAAAGTGATACTATAAATTTATCAAGATTTGAAGAGATATCTTGTTAATTACGTTGTTGTTTTCTACAGATTGTACAAGCCGGAGTGTCTTTTTGAGGTTGAGATCAGCCAGTATTCGAATTTGAAGGGCCGCCAACAAATGCAATCTAAATTTAAGAGATCGAAAAAATGTCAACGAGAATAACTAAACTTACTTAACAATGTGCATCAACATATAAAACAATACTCATCTTTCCACTTCTTTTCTCCTTTCTTTGCTATAAAGAAGTTATAAAATGTTATAAACACTAAGGGTACTAACCTTTATAATTTGATAATTAACCAAAGTAGCAAATGAGTCTAAAAAGAATGAGAGATTTATAAATATTTGACAGGCAAATAATATAAATACTCTGCATGCTTATCAGCAATTTGTTGCATTCACTATTCCTTCAATAAGTTTTTGTTTAATTTAATTTTTTAAAGTCATAAAACGTAATCTTTTCAATTTTAATTAAATAATGTTTATTTTAAATTTTAATTATTTCGATTTAACTAAAAAAATTTATAATAACTTTTTTTTTCATTTCCTTTTTTTTTAAATCCTTTTTTACCTGCATTTACAATATAAAATGATATCATTTTCCTACATTAAATGGCAAAAACGACATAATTTTATTCCATTAATATGATAAATGATTGAATATATTTTATATATAATTATACAAAAATATTAATTATTTAATTAATAGTAATTAAATCTTGATCAATGTATGTTACATTCACTCATTATCTTAATGTTTGAGTTGAAATTATTTTTTTCAAAAATAGAAAAAAAAAAGACAATGACTAAAATCGAGAATCCTAATATTAAAGATTATCATTCTCAACTCCGCATCTAGATGGTATTCCATCTTGCAAAAATTCAAATGTTAGAATATTGAACAAGAGATAACGAAATAAAGCATAATTTTAAAAAAATAAATAAAATTGTAACTATCATTTTATACCAATATTAATAAAAAAAATAAATGATTTAACAAAATAAATAACGAAAAAAAGAATTGTAGGCAAAAATAAAAATATTTAAAAAAAAAGTTATTAGAAGTTTTTTAATTAAATTGAAATAATTAAAATATAAAATAAATTTTATTTAATTAAAATAAAAAAATTACGTTTTATCATGAAACGAAAATAATTTTAAATAGAAAGAAATTTATTTATAATATGAAGAAAAAACTTTAAAAAATTTTAAAAAAATAATAAAAACAAAATAAATTACAAAAAAAAAGTTACAAAAATTAGATAAAGAGTATATAATTATTATTTAATTAAAATTAATAAATTTAAATTTTATCATAACAAAAAAAATTTAATAAAATTTTAAATCAAAGAAAAATATGGAGAAATTTCACTCCACGAATGGAGAGCCCCTTTCCTTTCACGGAGAGGAATCTCTCCTTTAAAACTCTCCTTTTTCATGGTCCCACGAAGAGATTCTCTCTGTGGCATTTTATTTTTCATTTTTTCTTTTCTTAATTTGTTTTGTTTATATTATAAATAATTTTTTTTCAATTTAAAATTATTTTTAATTTTTTTATGATAAAAATTATTTTTTTTCAATTTCAATTAAATAATATTTATATAATCTTTATTCAATTTTTGTAACTTTCTTTTGTTTAATTAATTTTGTTTTTATTATATTTTTTTTGAAAATTGTTTTAAAATTTATTTTATCTTCATATTATAAATAAATTTTTTGATTTAAAATTCCTTTTAATTATTTTCATCAACTCCAAATCTAGATGATATTCCATCCTCAAAAAATTCAAACGTTAGAATATCGAACGAAAAATAATGTAACAAAGCATAATCTAAAAAAATTAAGCTAATCAAATTGTAACTGTCATTTTACACCAATACGAATAAAAAACTAAATGATTTAATAAATTAAAGAACAAAAATATTTATAGGCAAAAGAAAAAGTTATTAAAAAGTTTTTTAATTAAATTGAAATAAAAAAATAAAAATTAATATGATTTAATCAAAATTTTAAAAAATACGATTTATAATAAAACGAAAAGAATAAAAAAGAATTTTAAATCGAATAAAAAATTATTTATAATATGAAAAAAAAGAAATTCAAAAAGAATGAAAAAAAATAAAAACAAAACAAATCAAACAAAAGAAAGTTATGATAATTAAATAAAGAATATATAAATATTATTTAACTAAAATTAAAAAATTAAGTTTTATCAAAAGAGAAAAAAATTAAAAGGGAAAAGTGAATTCTTTCATCTTATTACACTGTAGCAATTTTTTTTTAATTTTTTTTATAATCATGGGAAGGAAAAACGACGTTGTGCTATCTTCAATTGTGTCTCTATTTTAACACGTCACTTCATTACTACAATAACTTTCACTGCAATATTTCTTCATTTTCACACATTACTTCACCTCATCCAATCTAATACTAATAAATAAAGAAAAGGAACTAAATGATTTAAAAAATTATTAAAGAAAAAAATTACAGGAAAAAAAAGTTATTATAAAGTTTTTTAGTTTAATTGAAATAATTAAAATTAAATATTATTTAATTAAAATTTTAAATCGAACAAAAATATTTATAATATTAAGAAAAAAGAAATTTTAAAACAATTTTCA